AGAGGTAGGATTTTAAAAATATAAATTATTGAGAGATTCAAATAAAATATTTAAAGCTACTTAATGTGTTAGGTGCCCAAGTTCTCTTGATCTCAATGGAAAATAGGCACCTAAGCTGCTTAGCAGTTTAGAAAAATCATTCTGGAATCCCATCCTCCCATGTAAACACCTAAATACACATAAAAGTCTGGCTAGAAATGCACAATGAGCAGTGGGGGACTGTACATCATGGCTGGGAATCTTTTTGTTTAATTTTACACACTAGTCATAAATTTAGGACAGTTTTAAAGACAGAAGTCTTTAGTGCCATCAGAAATGTTAAAGGATATGAGTGTCAGCTCCATAGGATTGCCAGATGTGATATAGGACCTGAAGAAAAATTATGCCTTCCTGGAACTGCAGGTTGAGAGCAGAAGAGAGAGTCCGAGTTATTTCAAATAGTACCAGATGTGAATGTTCAGGTAACAGACTCCCATGCTAAGGTGTCTAGCTTAACTTAATCCATATGGCTGTGCTCACATTTCCAGATCAGAGAACGCTTCTGAGGCCCTGATTCTGTCAAGGTTTGAGAAGGAAACCTGTGACCATTAGTTGAACTGGAACTGTGGAGAACCACCACAAGAAAGACTGAGCATGGCCCAGGGCATTCACCTAAATCTCTTCACTGGCAGGACCCGAGACAGTCAGCTGAGACTGGTAGAACATGAGAAACATGAGAAATGTATATGCCTTGTAAAGACAGAGTGGGTTTCAAACTTAAGTTGCAAAGGTTCAATTTTGCATAATTTGGTGCATATGAACCACCAATTGTAATAGTGGCTGATGTTGAACCATATTTAAACTGATGTTTCCTGCTTGGGTAGAAAATGGTACTCCATATCAGCAAAGTGTGGCTGCCAGTTCTCTCTTCATGTTGCTTGAAGCTGCCTTTTTTGCTTATTTCTTTGTCAGAAATGTAATCATGTGTTATAATATCCTATGGCATCCCTGTGACAAACTGCTTCTAAAATCTATGCTAATGTTTAATGTATACACAAAAAAAGTGTCTCTGTTTTCAACTTTACCCATAATTTTTAATGCTGTTTTTCAATCCTGCTTAAACTTTTTCCTCCTGAAATGAGGCAGAAATTTCACATCATACTGACTTGACCCAGTGGCAGGGGATTACTAAAATTCTTATTGCTGTAAATGAGAATTCTGACTATTGAACCAAGGAAAATATGGTCAGTTTTACAGAGGCTATTAAAGTAGTGGGAACTGCTTTGCAAAACTTCTTTTGAAAAGATTTAATGCAATTTCACACAATAGAAATTTGTTTTTTTTTCTGTTGAATTCTACTGAAGTCTTTATGTTGGTCAACTGGATCCACATTAGCACAGTGAGGATAGATCTTTCGCAAAGATGAAGCTCTAGGTATTGTCCCAGTGATTACTGCCACATTACTAACTGCAGGAACACCAGTTCCAACATTTAGCTTATGGGACTGGTATGAAGGACTTTTTCATCACAAACCCAGTGCACACGTGTGCAAAATGTGCCTGCATTCTCTGTATCAAACCTTGCTATAGCATACAATGCAACTTAATATTCTTTGTGCAGATGTAGAGTTTTTGTCTCAGTATATGATTCTTAGGAGACGTTCCTCTGTGAACAGTAAGACATGAATAAAGCTACAGCAATATTTATAGAGAATTGCAAACATTGGAAAAATTATTTGAATGTGAAAAAATGCAAAAAAGTAGTAACTATGTAGTGAAATATGTAGGCATGGCTCTGAGTAAAGAAGCGAAGGGACTAGATGCTTGGGTACTCTCAATTCGATTTGCACTGTTGTCAGAGCACAGAGGTGTTGAAGAGGTGCTCTTTGATCTATGGCAGAAGGACATGAAAACAAAATGAGAACAGGTCAAAGCAGAAAGAGAATATGGAAGGAGCAATCTCAGCAATTTTGAAATGCTTCCTATGCTGTCAAATAAGTGAGTGCCATCTCAGTTTGCTCCTGACATTTCTTTCAGAGTGACCAATTAGGCCTTGATGAAACAAACCCTAAAAGTCATACTGGAGATGGCTAACTTTGGCTGACAATACAGAAAAGACTATATGCAGATTTGGTTCCCTCTGTCCTACACAGTCCTCCAACACCATGCAAGGCGCTCTGCACCCTCAGGTAACAAAAGCCCTATCTGAAGTATGTGACAGATACTTCCACATTATGCTATGAAAACATCACCTTGCTGGGCTGAAACATACTGTTTTGGACAGTCTGAGATAAAAAAAAAACAAAACCAACAACCCAAAAGCACAATTATTATGTTCAAGGGTCACAAAGGCAGCACACGGAGCCCAGGCAGCTGCAGGACCTTATATCTTGCACTGTGAAGGTGGGCAGTTGGCCTTATTCCTTAGCAGAATGAATGCAAGCCAGTCTATACCATATAGCCTAAGGGATGAGATGATTCCTAGGAGCAGCTATACTGAGCAATGTATGTGTAACATATGTTGTCTATATTTGTACAGAAGAGGTGGGAAGAACCACTCAAGTCTTGATAATACTGTATATACAGCACATCTATCTCATACTTGAATCTCAACAAGTTTCATATACTCCTCAATCTGTTTTGCCTATATTATCTGGCCAATATATATGTTTATGGCATTTAAATCCCATGGGAAAAGCCTGGATCCTCATATCCTATTTCCCAATTAAGGATTACCTTATACACTGTAAAAAGAGTTAACACCTCTCCTGTTTCCTTCAGAATGAAAAAAACCTAACTCTAACTAGTAACCTATATTTGGAGATGGCTTCAGAATTATAGATAACATATGGATATAATCACAGAATCGTAGAACTGTTTAGGTTGGGAAAGACCTTTAAGGTCATCAAATCCATCCTGATACATGTTTTCGTTCTAGTCTGAATATATGCACTTAACATATAAGCTTAAAGTCATCTCCTTCTCTATGGCATTTCTTACACAATGACTTAGGTAGCCTGTTGCTCATGTGCACATGGCGCATGTTTTTAAGTACCGTACTGTTTCTTTCCATATGCTGAATAAGCAGTAAGACTGAGAGAAGTTACAACTGCAATGCTGATGTTGTACTCCATTTGTGATTTTAGCCTTTAAGTTTGCTATGAAACTATTTTGAATAACGTGAGGCTCATAAATTTTAGATTGCAAAAGTAGATTAGATGATAGGCTTAGTCTCCATTTTTGTGGCATATCTGAGTTTGAGAAAACAAAATAAAAATTGTGCTGAGAAGTGTTAGATGAAGAACAACATTCACCCTGTAGACTTCTGAAAGCTGAGAGAGGAAGCTCATGGAAGTGCATCCTTGCTTCTCTTCACCTGAGCAGTGACTGCTGGCAACTGTCAGAGGCAAAATATGTGGGTAGTATGTCTGAAGTAAAGCAGCCATTTTAAATGTTCCTAATAGACTTGTGGAACTGTAAGACTGGGAAGTGCCAAAAAAATCTGGCAGGTAGTTGTTTATGGAAGAGAAGATGGTAGAGAGTGCTAATGTAAAAAGTACAGTTTTCATGTTTTCAGTCTGAATATTCTCCTTGGCCCTCTTTAGTGGATGAGGTTGGGTTTACCTAGTCAGCAGAATAAAGAAACATAACTGATGTTAGATAACAATTCTAAGCAAAGCTTCTGCTGAATCTCATCTGCTACCTAGAGAGTGGAAACATTTTCGGCTTCTTTTTTTGCTGAGTGTTTTCAAAGTGACCATAGTACTCATGCTGCTTGAATCTCATTTCAGCAAAAACTCAGGGATATAAAAGATAAGCTTCAATATAATTTCACACATCAAGACATGCTAAACATCAAGAACAAGAGAAGTCTGAGCTGCGTGTCTTGCTGTGTTTTACCAACTTAAAAGGTCATTCTATTCACTCAGCATAAGTCCATTGCAAGTGATTTCTGGCAGCAGAAGTGATGCAAAAACATATTACAAGAACAGGAGCAGTGGAGCATTTTAAAGAAATTTATTCAAAATTATTTCAGAACTGACTGTTTGAAATGCTCTGGAAAGTTGTTGGATTATTGCTAGGGAGACATTTTCCTGTTACAGGGGAAGTGATATCAGGTGACTGCTTTAGTATGATATACATACAACAACTAGCTACAAAGCAGTAGTAATGGTCTACACCAAGGACGTAAACTGCATGTTGCAAACCTAAATGTAAGGTGCTTGAAGATGAAAGTGAACTCGAGACCTGCATGGTATTTCCATGAAACTTGTATACCTGCTCCTATGAAGGAGGTTGCCAGCTTTTTCAGTTTCATGTTTTCACAAGATCAGCATATTAAAAAAATAGGTGCCAGGAGAATAAATCATATTAAAGATATTTTCCTCCATGACTTATAACAGGATTCTGGGGAAGTTAGAAATAGTCATATTATTTTATGAGGTCATAGAGTGCTGATGCCTACAGAAAATTTAAAAAGTGAATTTGTTAATTAAACATGATTATTACTATCTTCAGAAAAGAAACATTACTTTGTGATTATTTTGTTATTATTTACTATTTAGCAGTTCAAGAAAATCCCATTTAGCAATATGTAATTGCTAAAAAGTTGTTTGCAAAAAAATGAACTAAACTGAGTAAACACAAATGACACTTCTGTCTTTAACAGACAGCCTGAAGAGTGCAGAGTGAAGGAAACTTCCTATCCCCAAATTGGTTACACAGATATATTGGTAAAGTCTCAAAAGCAGATGAGAAATAAAATTGACCTTGGAAAGAAACCAAAGGATGACATCATTGGCTTAATGTTTCCAATATCCAGTCTAAATTGGAAATGGTAAAAAGAATTATAGAAACACAAAAGAAAAATAAATAAATAATTAAGGAGAAGTTTCCTGAATTTGAAATGCTTTAACTTCATATGCTGTTAGTTTTGTTTATGACTTTCTGAAATCAGAGAAAATAAAGGAAGTCTTGTGCCTGTGCCTTATTCTTCTTCATTTTGATGTTCTTATGCCTCTGTATACAGGAATTCATTATTGCTAGGTTCCACAGTTCCTTTAAAAGATTGAGCTAGACAATGCATCTACTAATTAAAAAAAAAATCAGTTTACAAAAATAATTAGTTTTAAATGAATACTATGCTTTTGTGGCTTTTCATGACATTCATCAAAGCTGCATATAAAAGTTTATGTTATGAACTAACTACTCTCTGCCCTGTGATTAAAGGGCACATGATGACCTCACGAACCACCCTTTAGACTTCCAGTGCTTCTGGCTTTAATATTCTGTGCTAGATTCACAGAGATCTTCTACAGATGCTAAGCGTTCAATCCTGAAGGCTCCACTTCATCATCAGGTAATTAGTATTTTCATTAACTTGGTTATTGTCAAGGAAAATGAGCCTTGATCATCTAATTTTTCCTCAATGAGTTGAATATTGTAATATATCTATAATTAATGTGTTTTATGCCACAAACGTGTAATGGAGTGGAAATCTGAGCCTGCTCCCAGCAGTCACTGTCAGTAAATGTTTGATGAATAAACAGAGACTTTCTAATGGGAAATGGTGGCGACTTTTATAAGCAGACACAATAAAGACTTTATTAACATACTTAAGAAGCATTCTGGGAAATAGAATTGAATGCATTATTACTGTAGGCTCCTTTTGTGAAAAGTAAATTTTACTGTCCCCATAACAAATGTTTGCTTGTTTGATGTAACTTGTAGTGTCATGCTTTTATGGAGCTTCTTTCAGTGTAAATCTGTGAAGCATTTTAAATTAGCTATATATTCCTCATAGGTCTATGATCTAAAAAAGAAAAAAAAATCCCCCTGAAATTTGTATAAACTAATCACTTATACACCTGGAAAAAGAAATAAAAAGGAAAAAACTAATACCTAGCAGATATCTGAAAAGTTAAATTACAGTGAAAATCTTGCCAAGATGAAAATGTATTGTAGGTGTTCAGAGAGTGAAGAGAAGCTGGGGTGGAATGGCAGCTCATTTGCAATACCACATCTGCTATAACTATAACTATAACTAAATATGTCTTTAATATGTATTAATGAACAGATCCAGATGTAATATCAACATGCTATAATAAAGAGCCAGGAGTGTCTCTGAGCAAATCAGGAAGGTATTTGTTTCTAGACCTGTTCCAGAATGGAAACTAAAACTGTACTGGCTCAGTTTTCAGAGATGTGTGATATACACAGCTCATGCTGCAGTCAGTGATAGCTACAGACTGTAGAAAACACAGCCACTTCAGGAAAAAAAAGCCTTTCCTTTTTAAATTCCACCCCCCCCCCCCTTTTTTTTTTGGCTGACATGGTGTTTGCCTTCCCAGAGCACACTGTAGCTCTGTACCTGGGGATCAACAACTTACCTAAGCAGGAAAGACGCTTGAATAGCATTTATTGCTGTTATGCAGCTAAATGCAAGTTCTGCGCCCTCATTTGCATGCAGTTCAGAAGCATTCTGTGGCATTGATGCAATGTTATAGAGAAGGCAGGAATAAAAAAGAGTAAAGAAGAAATGATAGAGACTAGGAAGCAAAAGGAAGTTTCCCCTCAAAGAAAATTAGAGGACAACTCTGAGAGTAAGCAGGCTTGCCTGTCGTTGCTGCTTCTCTCCTCATCTCTGTCATGGGACCTTCAAATACTCCCTGCTCTGAGCCACCAGCATCAACAGCCAATACTTCCAGTGAGCAACTTTGATACTCAAGAGTCCCTGCCTGACTGACTAGAGAAGCACAAGCACAGGCTGGGAAAGTCTCTCATGCTACCTGCCCTGTCCTGAGCAGTCCAGAAACAGTTGGCAAGGTCAAACTTGAGAGCATGCTCTGGGTCAGGAGTTGTAGAAACTGGGGAGCTGGGCTTGTCTCACACATCTGAATGGAAACTTGTTAGCTCTACCTTGTGGCGAGGACTCTGCATGTCAAGGGTGTGATACATCTGACCTATTTCAGATGTCTACCTCAAGATTTCTGAGTCAAGCTGCAATGAATTGTTTCAACATCTTTCTTTGATTTTGAAGGCAAAAGTTTTAATTATAATGCCCTATTCAAGTAGCTTTAATATTATGTTAAAATTCTACATTTTTTAGAGAAAAAATGGGATGGATTACATGTTATTATTAAAGAACTTTAATCCCATGGGGAAAGTCAGTGCATTTGCATTTAATTTCAGTTTGGTGGAACAAGTGTCAAAATTGTCTTTGAACTATTTTTTGTGTTTTGTTTTGTTTCTTTTTTGCTGTGGTAGATAAAAAAAGGGAAAATTAAGTTTTGATAAAAGTAAATCCCAAGACAGAGTTTTTTTGTAGCTTCATCCAGAATTCCGAAAAGGATTGCTTATTCTTGTGTGTTTTTACTGACCAAATGTAGTTGTCTATTACGTCTACATTTAAAGTAGCTCTTAATTTCCCAGAGCAATTTCTGAAGAGATGATACTCTTATCTACAGATTGTGATATATCTCATCCTAATGTAAATCTCTGGAATAAGGCAGATGAATCTCTGTCTAAAAGTGTGTATTTCTCATCCTCTCTTCCTTAACTTTAAGAAGAATCTAAGGTGACTCACTCAGATATTGAAGTCTACATAACAGAAGCTTAGGCTTAATCTAGATAAATCTCTCTTTAAAACAAACTGGTCAAAACATTAGGAATCTGGCTGTAGAGAATAATTTAGAGTGTCAGAGGATGAAGCTGTGAGACAGAAGCTGATTTTTTTTTTAATGATGGTGGAGGTCAGTCATGATCTTCACAGTATCACAGTATGCTAGAGATTGGAAGGGACCTCAAAAGGTCATCTAGTCCAATCCCCCTGCCGGAGCAGGAACACCTAGATAATGTTACACAGGAATGTGTCCAGGCGGGTTTTGAATGTCTCCAGGGAAGGAGACTCCACAACCTCCCTGGGCAGCCTGTTCCAGTGTTCCGTCACCCTCACTGAGAAGAAGTTTCTTCTCAAGTTTAAGTGGAACCTCTTGTGATCTTGACTTATTACATACAGCACAAGAAATTTCATTGAAGATGTTCCGTAGAGACAAGACTGAAAAGAACTTACGTGAAGAATTTTAACTCTGGCTTACAAGGATTTTCCAGTGGGCAGGGTCTCCATCTCCCCTAAAAGGGATTTACTCAATTCAACTTGTGTAAAATAAAGTTAAGAAAATTAAGTAATGTGACTGAGAGCTCTGTTCATTCCAGCTAAATTTAGACACCTAGTTGGGGGTCCAAAATGACATGTATAGTCAACATAACTTTGTCTGCGTAAAGAGGAGCATCTTCATACACAGTCCTCTTATGCGTTGCATTTGCCTCTGCTCTTACAATCTACAACTGGGAATGAAATTGTTGTGACCTCTGACAAGTGTAATTTAGATATAAAGCTCAAAACAGAAATCTTATATTGTTTGAAACTTGCAGGATTTAAATTTAAGGGTTTTTTTTTTGAGTTATGTTTAAGTTAATATCAGACTAACCATTTATATTTTTTAAATTCACTGTCAGCTTCAATTATTGAGATGGATGAGGTGTTTTAAAACAGATGGAAAAAAGAATACCAAAATCTTAACATCAAAACACCAGTAAATCAATATATAAAATATATTTTAGTGCTTTCTGGTATCATGAAGAAAGCCCAACTAATTTAAACAGTGGTCCAATTTTCAGAATGTTGAAGGAAAGGTATGTACTGTTCTGATGCAAGAAAACAAGCTAAGTAGAATGTTGTGTCATTACTATCTTAAAGTGAGTGTTGGGTGCAATCTGGGTTAGTTTGAAAGTATAGGGATTTTTGGCAGGGTTTTTCACTGCAATCGGGGTTGTATTTGTTTTCTCCAGTTTTGAAATGTGGCAGCATAGAATTTACCCAGAGGTTCTCCTATATAAAAGCTTATTATTTTGTATCTGAAAGGCAAAATGAGAAGAAAGTATTTTGCAAGCCAGAATTAGATATTATTACAACAGATAAAATTCAGGTTCATCCTCTTTTCCCCACTAGAACTACTCAAATAGAAGACAGCAGACCACTGTATCAGCAGCACAGCCTCGAAGCGCAATGCTGTTCTCCGTTACGCTGCTATTGATCTAAATATCTGCACCTTTTTTTCTAGTTTCTACACTGTCGTTACTGAAACTAATATTTGACCCAGTCTTCTAACATGAGGTACATATATTTCTACAGACTTCATTGATCTTATATATTTTTTAGAATGACCTGATATTTGGTAAGATATTTATCTTTGAAAAAGATACTTCAGTTTTTACAAAAATAAATTATTGAAAGTATATGTTAATGACTTTTATAAAAAATCTTAATTAGAAATAAATGAAACAAACATGGCAATGAAGAAACAAAGTAATATTCTGTTTTCTATTTCACTGAAAAAAGACAGAGAAGAAAAAGGTTGGCAAAATAATGTCTATAAAGGCCAGATATTTGTGTCCTGAGGCCATCAGGCACTTCCCTAATGGACTACAGAATGTGTGAAATAATTAATCATGCAGAGCAGGTATTACCAGGGTTAGAGATGGGGTCTTCAGCTTTTAATGGAAATGCTCTGTGATTGAGCTGGGAAAAAAAACCTTCTGTAGTTTGAAGAGAAGGGCATCTGTCATACTTAACTCATAATAGTTTAGGAGCACAATAAAATACCAGGCATGGTTCAGCACTTTTTATTTTGTGGGGTATTAAAACTATATATAATAAAGGAAAAGCACAAATACATAGGGAACTGCTTTCCATGGTAGTGTTCAAAAATTTCAGTAGGAGGAATGCTTAAAAGGTTAAACTCAGGCTCTCTGGGGTCAGATTTGTTCCCTGACTAGCAATACATCTCTCTGACTAATCTTTCTGTATATACTTTTAAAAAACTATGGTGTTGTTCCTACCTGCCTGTTTGACAGATTGCTGAGATATAGTGAAAATTGATCAATTTATTAATTTCTTTGCTAAAGACCTAAACACAATCAGCACCTCTTAAAAAAAAATAAAATTAATATTAACATTTAATTAACATTCAACATTTTATAGGCAAAGAACAGTATTAAGACTGAAGAACTTCAAAGAGAAACACAATTAACACAATATGCATAAGTAGTATGTAATCTGTCCCTCTGGTGGAGACACATTATGGTACAGTCTTCAATAATATGATCCACAACCTGTCTTTTCCCTCACGATACTTTCCTCATTTATTGCACAGGATAGGCAGTTCTCATTATTTCAGCAGTTCCTTTAGATTTTCTGTATCTCCACAGGTCAACAAGTGAATCTAACCCCTTATTTCTTCTGTGCCTTTCTAACCCTTGTTTCTTCTTCTATTTCCATCAGTCATCTAACAGTTTGGGTGTTCAAATGGAGGTGGCTAACATTTCTTGAGAGTTTGAACATTATGGGGTATGCAGGGATGGTACTCAGTACTTCCACAGGTTGAACTGAGAAGCTTCCAAGTGGATGCTCATAAAATGAGAGTACAATCCACTGAAAATCATACCGTTTGAGAGTATTAGTCTACAAAAGAATAATTACTAGCCAATAAGCCTGAAAAAGCAAGATATATTTAACTGTGCAGGAGATTTGTTAGATGCACCATAGAAAACTACTTAAAGGTTTTCATGTGAAATGTTGGATACAAGTCAAAATACACACAGTAAAAAAAAAATGAGTCCCAACTGTAACAGGAAGAATGAGTTAGTTACACACTTCCACTTGTCTTTGTACTTTCTGAGTCTGTTCAGAATCAGAAATACAAGGGTTGAAATATACCCAAAAAGGAATTTTTTTGGGTCATAGTCAATTGACTAATAGCCAAATGAATATTTAAAGAGAATCCAAACTTGTGTGATTTCCAGTTCAATATAATTACACTTTAAAGAATCTAGATTATATCAGTATTAGTAATTTTTGAGGGGTTTTATCGAAGCATTAACATCTTGATCCCACTCAGGACAAGTTCTAAATTAGCCAGTTAAGGAGAAAAGCAATTAACTGGAAAAACATGTCAACATAGTAGTAATATGTGTATGAAACAGAGGAAGAAACATTCCCATATAGTCCAATTTAGGATCACAGTGAGCATCTGGTTGCACTGGTCAGACCAAAAGAATGTATGGTAGCAGAACACAAAATTATTAACATCGCATTCCAGCTTGAGCAAGAAATTCACCCCATTCAGTGTTACCATCTGAGTAGAACTGCAGGAGTGCTAATCTTATTATACAGCAACTCACATCACTTTATGAGCAAGACTCTTGAAAATGTAGTCAAACACTTCAGCCTCAGAGGCTGCACATTTCTCAGTCCTGCTGCCTTTGGACGACCTCTGTATGGAAAGAAGGGACTGGCTGCCAAGGAGGCATCTGGAAGGTACTAGGAGCATTGCACTGGAAGGAAAGAGGAGGTGAAAAATATAAAGGATCTGTGTCTGAAGGGGATTGAACTCTAACAGTAAAAAGGGCTGGACTTCTGCCCACATGAGTTAATGGTAGTTTTGACATTCATTTCAAGAGCTGTAGTGTCAGGCCCCTGTGAATTAACAAGTGCTGGAGAATGGGAGAGAAGTAAATAGGCTGCTGATCACAGGAGTAAACCTGTTTGTGCCCAAGGGTATGATCAAGCTATGATTTGGAGTGCGTATACATATTCACACTAGCTTTAATCTAGATTGGATGGACATGACTTAGGGTGTCCAGGGTTGTGACAACATATACCTCAGCCCTGGCTGCACAAGCCTGCAGAGCACCAGTACACTTTCTGAAGCAGCTACCATCCCCTGAAGTGTGTGTTGCTGCAGCTTTACTCAGATATAGCTGTATCCTCTCCAAGTATCATTCCCCAAACCACTGGAGGAATGATGTAAGTATTTGGAAGCTCTGGGATTTACATGAGGTGTGTTTCAACATCTCTAGCATATGGCTGCAGAGAAGGTAGCTGAAATTCAGATTTCACAGCATGAAGCCTGTGCCATGCTGTTCAATTTCCAATACGCTGATGGTGCAACTAAACAACTATGTTGTAACAAAACATGCAGGCATGAGTGTGCATGTAACTGCATTTGCTTGAACTCTTAACAAGATAGATATATAAAGAAGAGACTAAAGGTACAAACAAACACTCATGGACCTTTAAGTGCAATGGGTTAAACTGGTAAACTGGTGTGAGGAGGAGTGAGGCTGGGTGTCTGAACATCACAGCTGTGGCCCAGTGATAGGCAGGTTGGGGCGGTGGGGAAGAATGGTCATATAATGGCAGTTGAAGTGTCAAGGGGGTACAATTTATTGAAAAGCAGATCACAAAGGAGAAAATCCTTCCTGCATATTATTAGTGCTATTGATTGATTTATATAGTGCATTTCTTAAGCAAAGCTCTTTATAGAATTACAAACTATTAAAGCTGAGTGAATAACTCACAATGAATAATTTATCCCATGAATTTAACCTTTCTTTCTGCTCATGAAATAGCCACAAAGAGATCACTATTTCCTTAATTATCCAGTGATTTTTTTCATGAACTTTTAAAATACTATGAACTGATCACCAAGAGTGTTCTGTTAATACAAGATAACCAAGGTTTCTTTGCATCCTGATTGTTTAGAGTCAACCAAACTTGTGGCTAACAAAAGCATGTGCGCTGTCCTATGCAAATCTGGTGGCTTGTGGTACGTTTACTACATAGCATAGTGCTTTGCAGAGATAGCTCTGCTTTTACTGAAAGGCACAGTTTTAAGAGAGAAAGCTTGAGCTGTGTCAGCATGGAGCTCTCACCTTGCTATCCATCCCTGTCTTTGTGAAAGACTTAATTCTACTACTTGAGGATGCTAAGAAGTTGGAAGTATGGAGCTGCAGGATCTTGTGGAGATGCGGGAGACTCTCTGGAACCCCTACCCAGTGTTGTGCAGCTCAGGAGTACTTAGAGATATATGTCAATCCAGATGATTCTGCACTTGGGTGCCTTTTTTTAAATCAAAGCCTGAATTCATTGTGATTCAGACTAAAAGCACACTTTGTGTGTTTGACTTTTTTCATTTCCTGACAGGAAGAGTATGTAAAACTCTGAATTTCAAAGCTGTGCTACTCTAAAATTCCTTTTCCATGAATACTCAGGTAAGTAGCATGCAAATCCATTATTTGACATTTTTTTTGCCAAGGTAGCTTAATTCCATAAATGTTGGCAGAATGTGAATATGAAAGAAGAGAGGACTGAAAACTGTGACAAAATAGCTGAAGACATGTACTGTGCACTGTGCACTTGACATAAACCAGCTATCCCTTAGAATTCTTCTACTTAATTTTTATGACATCAGTCATCCCTGAGGAAAAAGAGAACTAAGCAGTAATACAAAAAGCAGAATCACTGTTCAATTTTTTGGGGAGACGACTGTCTTCTGAAGAGGAGTGGTAACTGAGGTTTCATTAGGAAATATAAAGAGGACTAGGTAGCAGCTCATTTCAACCTATCATCTATAATGCAACCATAATTTTTGGAGGTTAGGAGTAGGTTTTAAAGTTATATGTAAATGCTCACCATCCTACACTTTAGCTCATTTCCTTTCAGGCTTTGCCACAGGACTTTGAAAAACTGTTTCACAATTTTCACGCTGCATAGATGGAGAAAAAGTGAACTTCTAACACAGTTCTGTGTTCTGCCAATGGACGGCTCTTTTTCAGTTTCAGAACAAACTGAGATTTTTCCATTACTGCTGTGTTCTAATGTAGTGGTAAACAAGATTGAGGAGTAATATATTTTGAAGCTGCTATTGAGTGTGTTTGTCAGTACTTCCAGTGTTAACACCCTGAGTATGGCAGCAGATTAATAATTCACCTGTAACAACACAGTGCAGTATTTCAATGGAGTAATTTAAAACCAGATATTAATAATATCTGTGTTGGGTTTTTTAAGGAAATTGATTTGTTATAAGGAAATGCAAAATCCTACTCTCAGATCTCTACTGAGCTTCCAAATGGAGAGGAGCCCGTCTGAATCTTAATTTGTCTTCACTGACAATTTTTCAGACTTGAGAGGATAATTTTCCAAAAAAATGGCATCTGAGACCTGGTTTCTGTCAGCCATTTTGGCAGACTTTTTTTGGAGTGATCTCCCAGTGGTTTGATCTGTATCTCAAAGATGCAGTTCACACACCAGATTTCTTCTGGATGGAAGAAAACCAGGGGAGCTCTTGCATTGCTCCTGGGGTTCTACATCCCACTGCCAAGCTGGAGCAGGTCAAATGTAACCACTTCACCCAGAGTGAGCATGAAGTGGATTTCAAGTTCTCAGCAAGAACTCTTTTGATCTCTAAATTCATTCCCATTTGTCCACACCAATTAATAAGATAGATATAGGCTCAGTCAAGGAAAAGGCCAATAACCTAACTTAATTTCAGTTTGAGGCAGGCTGGATTTCCAAATTGAAAATATCATGCAAACAGAGGTAAAACATTGTTCTGACTTTCTGATGAAGTTTAAACCTCTTACATTATTACCTTTTAAGAAAGTAGCTATGTTATACGATTTTCCTAAACCACATGCTATTTACAATAACGTCAGTCTCAGCAAGCTAAACAATCTCTCCACCTTCATGATATTTAAATAGAGAATTAGATCATTCTGGATAACTGATTAGTGTGCACTTGAAATGTTTAACAAATGTTATGAACGTAAGTGTGCATCTTAAATGTATATTTATATTGTTGTGCATAGAGTAATGTGTCTTCTGGGTCCTATTGTAAACAAGCTGTCAAGCTTAACTGGGTTAGCCTGTAAAAATATCTTTCCATAAATAAGTTGAAAAAAAACCCTAACAGTCAAGCAGCCTCTTCTAATGGGCTTGATTGGGAAATACAGGGAGAAAATATAGTAATACAATAATGTAATCCTGTGCAGATCTCTTCTCAAAATGTCAGTATTTGTAACATTGGGATATAGTCAGCTTTTGGCTACTTTTCTTTGTTCTCTGCTTGGTGATGTGGAAAATTCCTTACTCAATTATGTCCAGTCACACCCAGTTTGTTACTCATCTGTTCTAGTTCACTCATGTCCTGCCAATTTAGATATGACTAAAATTATCAACAGAGAGATCAAGAGTGCATTTCCCTGCTACATGTTCAGCACTGCAGCAGCAGAACAGAAAAAACCCAGCATCAGACAGAAGTGACTTCTACAGACAGCCCAGTACCTGAGGAGGATTAGAAGTAGTACACAAGATCCAGAGATTATTCCTGGTGAAATTATAACAGTGTTAACAGAGATCAAATATAATTTATTTTGTCTCATTTTCTGAGAATGAAATCTGTTGCTGCGGCTGTTTGTCTCTCCTCTGCCACTCTCTTTGATCTACTTTGTTTTCTCATACAAATATTGTATGTAATTATGACAGTTATGCCAACCTTTAAAATAAAATCTCTTTTGCTTTGTGGAGGGTTACATACTAGTGCTACCAGACTTCTCATAAACCCTGAATAAAATGCTCTGACATTCTAACAGATGAAAAAATAATTATCTAGAACTTATTTCAGAACTTGCTAATTAAGATTATGAACTGCTTCCATTAAAAACTCCAGTTTAGCTTTCATTCTTTTAAAGAATGAAATGATCTGTTTTTTAATCATCAGGATGAAAAATCTTTTTTGTTTAATTCACAAACTTTTGTTTGCTGGAAGTTGCTGGGAAGGAAGTTGGTGCAAAAGACAAGTATCTTATCTCCTTTTTCAAAAGAGATTTAAAAGTGAGTAAATAATAATAAAAATTAAAAAGGTTTTCCACTGGAGACAGCCTTCAATGAACACTAGTTAAGTCCATCACTCACTAAAACTTGAAAACTTATAATGACATATTTGGAAGATTTTTCATATTGCTTTTAGTACATATTAGATAATGTAGAAACTGAAAAGTTTCTGTTCCTATATCTCTCTTTAGTATGAACTCATACTGAGAGTTAGTTTTTCACATTCTGCTGCAATCAGCCCTGGTTGCTTCATTGCCTTCATCTTGGGTAGCCACCAATGTTAACACAAAAGGACGCAGTGTGCCACCATTATGACCCCACTGAAGGAAATATACATAAATTCGGGTGATTATAGAAAAGTGAAGAAAAATAGGGACTCAGATATTTTGGTAACATACAATGAACTCTAACAGAAAATATAAAGAGGGAGGATGAGACTGAGGTTTTCACACACACCAGTGAATTCTTAACCAACTTGAATGCTAAGAACTGTTGCTTTATTTATAAGAAAGAAGTTACTTAATGAAGTGAAATCATTCTTCTTCCAAGTTCATAGTATTATGGTTTAAAAGTTCTGTAAAGGATAGGGGGCTTTAAGAAAAACACTCCTTCTGACACTGATTAGGATTCAACACCACATTTCATGAGTCAGACTAAAAAACCCCTGTAATTTGACTGGATGCTACTGACATCTTATGAAAGATCCCTGCAAGTTATCATCACTACAATTTCTGCCAATGCTTTTTTTTTGCTGTGTATTGCTGTATGGTATTGCACTGTAGAATTAGTTCTAAATAATTTTGTATTGTTTTTCTTGCCTGGCCTAGGAGCCCTATCCATGGTTCTCCAAAAACTTATCAGCAATTAATAAATTCTTCCCCTCTATTCTCTACCCTCTGCACAAATATGTCTTTGAAACAAATTATGAATATCATGACTTTGCTAAATGCATTGAGGTCTATTTCCTTTTGATTCGACAAATGTAATTTTGTCTGCCAGAGACACATACTAGTTATGCCCTGATATGCTAACATTATTTGACATCTTTCCCTCTCACTTGTTAATGGAGTCCTTCACTGCAACCATGCCATCTCAACCCTCATCTCATCTACTGTAGCTCTGTTTCCATTTCAAAATCCTATGGAACCTCCTGATTTCACCCATCATCAGTTTTACAGTGGATGTGTCACTATCCAGATGACCTACGCAAGCGGGCTGTAAAACTCTGCTGCCTTCTTTCTTTCTAGGTGCTGGGTTCTCAGTGCACGTTTTGGAGGGTACAATGACACGTATGTTCTTTCTGTTGTGCCCTGTCAATTTTGACCCAAGTGCTTATGTATTTTTCCACCCCACATAAATCTTTCTGCCAACAATATATTGGTGATACATGTGAGTGCAAAAAGGGATTACCATTCTTAGGAGGGTAATAACCCCTCCTGATGGTTTCATTTTACCTTGTGGAAATTTGTAGTTTTTTACTGGCATTTCCATAATATATTTCAGCAGCATTTATACCACTATTTCCTCTTGCTGTCTCTGCATCTAATTCTTTTTTCCTTGCCCTGTGTTTATATCTAATAGAGTGCATACTGCTCCACATATAATCTGCTGCTTTTGTTCCATGGCACTGGGGACGTGACCTTAAAATTAAGCATAGAAATAGTAGAACAAGCTAAAACTGAAGTTAGAGGAGGAGGGTTCCAGACTGTTACAGAGCAATTCATATTGAATAGCATTGGACCCATGCTGACACAGTAACAATAAAAAGGAATCATCTGTGGAAGCAAAGATGGTAAATCACAGAGGGCATATATAAGTGCAGCCTCAGAGCTATAAAAGCCAGACTGACATTTATCACTCTGTGCATATTGGAGCTGTCATGTTGGTCCTCAGATGATCATGTTACTACCTTCAAGACATTTTTTTAGATATGAAGCAAAGATTAGAGAGGAAATGAGAGAGAGGCTTGCTAATAAGTATTGGGTGAAAGCCACATAAAGGAATTAGCATTTATATTATTTATTGTCCCTTTTTCATCAGCCGTCCCCCCCTTCTTTCTAATTTTTTCCCTCGCCTTGGATTTTTCTAACCTTGTGCTGAGAAGATCTTTGTACATTAAACCTAGTTCAGCTTCAGAACGGATTAAAATCAGTTTGACTAAATATTATGTTCAGTGAACAACAAATTGTACAGCTTCACACATTATTATTTGTGCTAAAAACTATTATGTAAATATACTGGCTTATATAAGCTTAAGTAGGATGACATAAGAATGCAAAGATAAGGCATACATACAGATCTACTGAAGAGATACTCTGTGAGCATATCCTCTAATGGAAAATTGTGCATTCTCACTCAGGGCAGAAAAGAACCATATGTCTATTTTAGTGGTTATGTCCTGAAATGATGCACTTATTCTTTTTATAATATTTTGAAATAAATACATATGGGACCGGTCAGATGTCAACAGTGGCACTGAAAGGAGTATGAATTAGTCACACTGGCACACAGGGCCCTGGAACAATGAACACTGCTCTGGAAGACCCTTGAATGCAAGCCTATTTGCCTCTTAATCCAAATGAATAATTAATGATAATTATCATGCTGCAGTTATTATCTGTGATAATAATATATCCGTAAGGTGAATAAATTCAATCTGCTACTATGCAGAAATGGAAACTCATAATATTCTTAAGAAATACAGATATAATTATCAGTATTAATGGTCAAGGAAAAAAGGAGATTTTTATATAAAGAATTACAGCAAAAGGTCTAAAGTTTAGTAAGAATGAATTTGATCGCATTATGTTTATTCTTTAGTTGTCATTTCAATGGCACCAACTTGCAATCTTTCCACAGTTTATTTTCCTAAGACCCATTTAGCAAAAGCTGAAATGTGCATTTGTTCATTATGATTTATCCATAACTTTTCTAGTAGTCCAGTGCTAGAGAAAATCAGGCTTAGGATCTTTCAAGCATCCATATGCAAACTGGTTCACTTGTGTAGTTCACTGTGCTAGCTATTTTCCCTCACTACAAAAACTTTAAAGTATTAAAGAAAAAATGTAAAAAAACCCAAATAAAATATTAAGAGGCCAAATACGTGTTTGAAACTCATACAAGACCAGCCATAACATTTATTTTTGAAAACACTATAGGTAAGCTAGGCAGAAAGTAGGCAATCATATTTAATCTGATCTCTCTCACTGGGCTGGTTGTGACAAAGAAAAATGGAAGGGGGATGGGTGAATGGCAGCAAGAGGAATTAACTACCCTCCAATTCTTTTTGAAATTGTTTTTCTCTTTATTTTGACTATTGAGATTATCAGTCATAAATTAAAGACTTTAAAGTCTACTTTAGTTGAATGAAATTAATGATTGAGAAAAAAGCTTTGAAATTCAAAGTTCATGCAGACCTTTAACTCACACCAGGAAGGCTTGGTTTTTCACTCCTTCTTTTCATCCTGTGATTTGAGAACTGGATTACTCAGGGGAATGGTAATGAAATGTAGAGTTTCTCACCTCTAGGTCATCGCTTTAAATCTGGTCCATGTTGGTAGGAACCAAAATTCATTATCATCTACTTATGGTTCAGTGGCCTATGTGAAATGAGTTGATGGTCTTTCAGTCTAGTTTTCAGTTGGCAAATGTCTACACAATAATAAGCATAGTACCAGAATAGGGCTGAAAGTTGTATTCCTAACATAACATTCGGGGATCATTATAAGAGTCCCTCAAAACTCCATCGACTTCTAAGACTACCTTCCAGGATAGTAGGTTTCATTCTTTCATGCTTTTTTTCACTATGATTCATCCTTTTTTTTTTTTTTTTTTTTTTTCTGATGACTTGGGCAAAAGAAATTGCCTCTTTTTCACTCTCTTTTTCATCAGAAAACAACAGATTTCCCTCAAAGTGGATCCTGACAGGTGACAAGAATAATAACATGTAAGAGTCAGTAAAAGGATGCATTATTAATCACCCTGGGTTTCATTTAGGCCGTAAGCTCAGTGGGTGAGCTCTGTAGAAGGAAGAGAGGAGATATTATCATTATTATTTACTTGTCCACCCAGGAGTCACTAACCAGGACATCATTGTATTAAGCAATGTGCAAACACAGAAGAGAGAGCTAGTCCCTGCCCTAAAGAACATACAATTTTACCATAACCCAAGAAAAATTGTATGCTTACAGGTAGATGGACATAGAGGGCTATTGAGAGATGATTATGCTATGCCTGCCAGCTTAGTGGTTATTTTTAACAACAGCATGATATTTCTATTAATAAAATGATAAAATTTGTTCTCAAGCTTTTTTTTTTGTGGGCATCACAGAAAAGAGAGAACTTCTGGAATGGGGAATTAGTAGAAGGGAAGTTGTATTTGCAAATGTTAAGGCAATCATGAAGGGCAGCTTGGAGGTAAAAGCTTATTTGAAAACAGAACAAGAGGAAAACCAGTCCTGACACTGACTGTGCATCAGAGTCCAATAATAAATTGAAAATTAAAAATAGAGAAGTGTGAAGAGTGTTCACAGGTTGCTATAATATATACTGCAGCAAGCAAGGAGAGAGACAAGAGAAGAAAGAAAGGAAATATTATGAAGTCCCTGAACTGGGGGATGGTCTTTGCAACAACAATCTAAGTGTGACACAGCAGTGTTCATTAATGTTGGACAAAACAGTGTTGCAATAAGTTAGGTAGAAGTGATGAAGGATTTGTTCTGTGTGCATGTATGTGTATGAAGGGAATACCTGAGAGGATGCAGAAAATTAATCTTTAAAATGTTTTACTGAAAGTCTTAGTGAACATAGGAACAGTCTGATAGGATCTACAATACATATGTTATTAAAAAAAGTACTTTTATAATATGCTTCAGCTTCAGGAATGTGAAAGTATGATCCACTGATCCAAGAGAGTGTTATTGGAGAGTATATGTCAGAAGATAATTAAGGGCCTTCCTTAGCTTTTTTAGAATCATAGAATCATAGAATCGTTAGGGTTGGAAAGCACCTTAAGATCATCTAGTTTCAGGCCCACTGCCATGGGCAGGGACACTGCACTCTATTTAACTTACAAAGAAGTCAGGTACCCACAGACAGATAGAAATCCACAAAGCAGACTTTCTTGCAGAATGAAGACCTTGCACCCACTGTAAGAGAGGAACTGGTTCAAGACCATCTTAAAAATCTGAAAGTGCACAAGTCCACAGGTCCTGATGAGATCCATCCGCGGGTCCTGAAGGAGCTGTCAAATGAAGTTGCGAAGCCGCTGGCCATCATATTTGAGAAATCATGGCAGTCAGGTGAAGTTCCCGACAAGTAGAAAAAGGGAAATATAACCCCCATTTTCAAGAAGGGGAAAATGGATGACCCAAGGAATTACAGACCAGTCAGTCTCACCTCTGTGCCTGGCAAAATCTTGGAGCAGATTCTCCTGGAAGGCATGCTAAGGCACATGAAAATCAACAAGGTGCTTGGTGACAGCCAGCATGGCTTCACTAAGGGGAAATCCTGCCTGACCAATTTGGTGGCCTTCTATGATGGGGCTACGGAAGTGATGGGTAGGGGTAGAGCAGTTAATGTCATCTACCTGGACTTGTGTAAAGTGTTTGACATCCTTGTCTCTAAATTGGAGCGACATCAATTTGATGGCTGGACCACTCAGTGGATAAAGAACTGGCTGGATGGCTGCACACAAAGAGTTGTGGTCAATGGCTCAATGTCCGGCTGGAGACCAGTAACAAGTGGTGTCCCTCAGGGATCGATGTTGGGACCGGTCTTGTTCAACATCTTTGTAGCTGACATGGACAGTGGGATTGAGTGCACCCTCAGCAAGTTTGCCGATGACACCAAGCTGTGTGGTTCAGTTGATACCCTGGAGGGAAGGAATGCCATCCAGAGGGACCTTGACACACTTGTGAGGTGGGCTGATGCCAACCTTATGAGGTTTAACCATGACAAGTGCAAGGTCCTACACCTGGGTTGGAGGAATCCCAGGCACAGCTACAGGTTGGGCAGAGAAGAGATTCAGAGGAGCCCTGCGGAGAAGGACTTGGGTGTTGGTTGATGAGAAAATGAACATGGGCCGGCA